GGTTGCAAATGCAAGTTCATCTGTTGGGTAGTTAAACCGCATTGCAGACGTCTTGCGTCTCTTAACAACTCGCTACTTTTTTTGAACGGAAAAAATTTTCTTCCACGATGGGAAGATCCAGAAGTCTAAGGGAAACGACCAACAACTTTCTGTGGTAGTTTGAAGGGGCTATCGTCCGGTTGTGATTTTTCCACAGTTTTTTTTTAATATTTGCATGTCGCCTTCACAAAACTGTTGACTTCAGCTGCCACTTCTGGCATTGAAACATAACCAATGCCGTAACAGTCAAAAACTTCTCTGGACACAACGTTTGATTTATCAATGTCATTTCCCTTAAATTCTTTCCACAGTTTAAAAAGCTTTCGCCTGTCGATTTCAACTGAAATTTTATTTGATAACTTATAATCTAAACTATTTTTGAAATTGTCACACACAAATAACTTCCATAGATAACTCATTTATATCATGAATTGGAGAATTGGAAATTAACACTGAATACCTTATTAACTACATGGTTACACTTACCTTCATTGTTGAAAGACATGCTTTTCTCACTTTTCGGAGCTGCTACGGAAATGTTGAAAACATAACTTTCACTTCACTATAAAAGGATTATTTTCTAAGTAATATGTGTTTAGTGCAGCAAAACCGATCAATGTGTGACCAAACTTTGTTATATTATGCCTGAGCCTACTTTGATTCAGTCTTTGACAAATGCGCTCAGTCACTGAACTACAGAACGACCTTTTAAAAATACCAAACAATCAACGAGGATACTAAAAGGAATAAATGTTTCAATGGAATTTGAGATCACCTTTGAACAAGCTTTCATCCTATTCAAGATTCACCTGCCGGATTTTGCCGGATTTTTGCCTGTGAGGGCACAAAATATGTAAATTTTTTTACTAAATTTGTTAATAACTCAGCCTGTGTAATCGATAACTTTTGGACGTCTTGAAAAAAGTTTTGTATTTCGATAAAATACAAATATTTTTAGAACATTATAGTCTTCTAAAATCTATAGTTTTTGAAATATGTTATAAAAACTGAAAAAAACTAAATTTTGTTGAACAGTCATATAAAACGCTAAGTATCTCAAAAACTAAGGAATATAGAGGATTGATGTGTTGATTTTTGTAGTAAAATTATCTACAACTTTGCAAATTTAAAAAGTCAGATTTTGCAGCGCCGCCTGTGTTGGAGTTCCGAACTAAAACCTATCACTAGTCTTTGCACCTTATTTTGTACAAAAACTCTTTTAAAGACATCATAGTGAAAAAACCGTCATTGAAGGCGCAAATAAAAATGTTCGTGATGTTGAGCATTCAAACCACTGTGCAATGCGCAAGATCACGATTGATTTTCGTAGACAAAAATCAACAAGAAAGCAACTGCGGATGATATTACAAGCTGTGATATCGTAGCTACGAATATCAAGCAAACAAAACACACCAGCTGCAAATCTCACCAAACCGTGAGTTTGAGTTTCATGATATTTGCTTTATAGCCGAATGCAATCCGAAACTACCGTCACCGCTGACAGCAACAGCTTCGTTTCTGCCATCGGTGAAGAGTAAAGAGAGATAGTAAACTATACTTTCTCTTTCTAAGAAAACGATGTGCAACAGAATCATTTTTGTGTAAAGTCAACTCTCAGTTTCATTTTTACAAGCTGTGAATAGTCTCGCAATATCAAAGGAGCTTGTAAACTCAATATCAAGCATGATATTGAGAGCGTATGAGATCGGAATCAACATAAACTAACTCTTCTCTTTGACATTTTAGCGAGTTGACGTCGTCAGCAAAGATGTTCACCATAACAAAATAAACAATAATTATTTGGAATATAAAAATGAATTGATGAAAAACTGATTTTACAATCTTTTTCTATATTTAGATATCCCTGTAAAAATTTTACAAGATTTAGATCGAATATAGGGTGTTCCACACAGAAAAAAAATCTGAATTGTAAATGTAAACATCCATGCATGCAAACATTCATGCATGAAAACTTCCTTTTCACGTAAACTAGCAACTTGCAAAAAATGATGCAAACAAAGGTGGACAGTTGCATACAATATATGGAATATTGCATGACATGTCTCTTAAATTTACACGATCTATAATGTAAATTTGAATGCACTACTTTGTTTAGCTGTGCACATCAAATTCCATCACGGAAAAAACGCTGATCCTTTTCAAACTTTAAGACAATAAAATATAACCCATTAGTAAGCTTTTGACATATTTATTTCATTCTAGTTCAATACCATAACCTACGCTCGCTTCTTACGCTTAAGGGGGGAGATACAAGTAACACGTCAAAAACTCGACGATTTTCGGATTTTTTTTTTGTGAGCAAATGAAACAACGCTAACGTTTGGGGTTTTTTGCATTAAATTGCCTAAATCTTCCTCTACATTTGAGATTTTTTTCATTGGTGTGTGACCTCTGTGGCTCCTTGGGGTCACATCGGAAGGAGGTCACCTCCAGTGGGGATTGGTAATTGGCGGGCGTTCTAGAGACCTGAAAAATTGACAAAACTTAATTTTATCAAATGGACCTTATTCAGAAAAGATTGTTGTTCTATGTGAACCTCAAAAACCCCAAAAAAAAACAATTTAATAATTTAGAAAAAAAATATCTGAAAAAAATCTGATTTTTCCGAGGGGGGGCGGACACATCTAAATCTCAATTCTAGATGCTTAAAAAATCTCACACTAGCGAATCAATCTTCGAAAAATCATCTTTCATTTCTCGCATCTACTTGCATCGTGCTTCATCTTTTTGCAGGAAATCTTCAAAATCGACATAAATCTTCCTTCTATCTACTCAGCGTGCGTGCAGCTAGCCACAGCAAAACACAATCTTTTCTGCATCGTAGATAGAGTCGTCCCCCTCGCATTTTTCACTGTTTTTTTTTCCACTTTAGGCAGACCTGAAAATTATTTATTGTTAATTTTTTATGATATCAGTGGTTCACATAGAGTAAAAATCTATTTCCTTTAAGATGCACCAGGTTTCAAGTCATTTGGATGAGAACTTTTTGAGTTATCTTTCCCGCCAATTTGGAAAACACCGTTTCGAGAAAAACGCGTTTAAAGTTTTGCGGTAGGCGGAATCGGCGCTCGGAGCGCTGTTACATAAATATCGATATCTCGGTAACTACTCGTCTGATCGCTTAGATATTTTGTATAAAAAAAACTTCAAAGGATAAACAATTTTTTAAAGTAAAATATAAAAAATCGATAAAAAAAAAATTTACTTGTATTTCCCCCTTTAACTCCACTCATAAGGTTCTGTAAAACATCTGGCTGCAGCTTCTTCCGTACGGAAACGCACTTTTTCTACATGTCTTCCTCAGATTTGACCTCCTCGGGATGCCTGAAGCATGAAGCCCAGTATTTTTCGATGGGCCTTAGTTCCGATGTCCCGATGAGAGAGTTGAGAATTTTCCAGGTGCTTGCGCAAAATCAATTCGCGACGTTGCTTTTCGGGTGACGCCATTTTTACCAACTTACGAAAAACTGACAGCGATAAAAATACAGTGTAAACAATACACTCTAAACTACTTCTACCCAAATATTCATTTTTTTTCCCTTTATTAACGAGACTTTCAGCCTTAGACTGGTTCATCTATAGACCCAAATTTCCAAGAGAAAATACCCAATGGATAATCTTCTATAGCGTTTTTTTCCGTGATGCAATTTGATGTGGGACACCCTTTATGTCACTTTTGATTACAATTATTTCATTTTGTGCGAAATTGCGCATTTGAGAAAGTTTTAAATCTATCAGTAAATTATCAGTTCTTCTGATATTTCCTAGGGGCCTCATAGCCTAGTCAATAAAGGCATGGTATTACCAAGCCGGAGGCGCCGGGTTCGATTCCCGGTCCGGTCGAGGGAATCTTTCGGGTTGGAAATTTTCTCGACTTCCATGGGCATGGAGTTTGCTTCATTGCTTGCCACACAATATACAAATTCATGCATTGGCATTGGCATCGAAAGCTCTCAATTAATAATTGTGGAAGTGCATTTAGAACACTAAGTTGAGAGCACGCAATAAGCTAATATGCGCTAAGCAATAAGCTTGAAATGCGAACAAGAAGAAGAAGAAAATATTTCCTGGTTGGTATTTAGATTCAGAGAATGCTACAATAAACTGATTTTCCTTTATTTTCTGTTTCAGTTTTGAAACAGTAGCAATTTCAATAACCAGTATTCAGGCCATAATTTCAAATGATACTCAACTTCCTATTCAAATGTTTGGATTTTAACATTTCCCCACTTCTATTTCCAACGCTCAACTTCTAGTGTTACATTTTTTCATATCCAGTTGTAAATTGTTCAACAAGGGACGGTTAACAGCCCCAATGAATCCCAAAAATCCAATCAACCCTCAATCGCACTCAAAACACTGCTCGGCTCAGATTGTCAACATTCCCATTTACCTCCGCACATAAATAACATTCACGCGCTGCAGAGTTAATAAATTTCAATCCACTTTGTCCGAGCTTTCGAGCGCACTCTCTGTACGTTAATAGTAATAATCGCTCCGAAATTGAGCAATTATGATTAATTAAGCGATTCTTGGCCATCCGCTCGCACTCCCGTTGGTTTGTGTTCATGGAGGTTTTTTTTTACGATCGTCGTCGCGTCAACCTTCAATTTTCAAAAACTGTCAGCCAGCCAGTCAGTCACAGTCGTCACCAGTGCCTACCTACCTCCAGTACAGGTCGTTAATTGATTGTCAGAGAAACAACACACGGAGTGAAACATGTAGAACTACAAAAACACACACACGCATGCTTGATCCCGCAGCTAAAGGCGATTGAGCTATTTGGTCCAAGTAGGCTGAGAATAGCGACAGAAAAAAAAACAAGTCTTGCCGAACGAAACCTACAAAACATACGGGCAGGAGATCCGGTCGTAATGAGAATTTTGCCCGAGTACACCGCGGTATGATAGTTACGAAAATCTAGCACAAGACCAACTCACCTTCAGGGCAGCAGCAAGCAAAACGATGACGGAGGGAGTCTCGTTTCCTTGAAATTACAATTTCAAATGCGTCGGAAATTACGAATTCATTGATCGTCCAGCGGCAGCCCAAACACCTTGCCGTTTCACATTCTCCGCATACCAATAATTACCAACGAACACGGTGGCTTTTACTCATTTCTTCTTCTGGTTAAAGTAGAATACAACTGAATAAATTATTCCGATTTGCATCATCCGCAGCCGCAACAGCTGAACCCTCCGATTAAACAAACAAATTTACTCCGATCGCGCACATGCTACACTTTTACGTACAGCTCTGCGCCGTTGTTGGAATGCATGCCACCGGAGCTACCAAACTCGGAATCCGCACACGCGACACACCTTTTACATCGACTTCATTGACCTGTCTTAGCTGCTATTTGCACTTATTATTTTCGCTTCTTCAATATTAGCTTCGGTGAACTGGCATTTTTCTTCTTCTTTTCTTTCTTCACTGCTCCAAACCAAACACGCGCCGTAATTGCGTGAGTCAATATAGCAGGTACGGTAATCAAGACACACGGGTGCGGTGCAATGGACCAGAGACAGCGATAGAGAGAGATCCGTGAGTAACTAGACAGCAGCGAGGGGTAGGTCCTCCCAAGGTCACCGATCGCAGCAATCGTCGTTCGTCCACAAACGGGTGACTTTGATTGAAAAACGAGAGCATGCGGTTCCTAGGCGAGGTACAGTAGGCGAGCCGAGTCAGTTCTAACCTCAAAAACCGCAACTGCTGCAGCTCAGCTTCGCTAATCCTAGCCAGGCGGATGGAGCACGTTGAATGCTAGCCAGCCACCGATGTAGGTAGATGGAAATATCCGTCCGTGCCGTAGTCGACCGTGTCGTCGTGAGTATATGCAAATAGCGGGCTGGTCTCACCTGGATAACCTAGAATGAGGAAAATAAAAAAAATAAAAACAATAACTATCACTTGCTGGCAGGGTGAAGTAAGCTCATATTGTGTACGGGGGTTCAGTTGGAGTGTGAGGGTGGGAATGGATTATGAAACTTTTCATTCATTGATCTGTTGTGACGATATCCGGTTATTGTGACTCAATTGAACAGAGTTTTGAATTTTGGACAATTTGTTTCGAGCAAGAGGTCGGTCAGTCCGCACAGTGTGCCAAAAATACAGATGGGCACACCTGGGCACTTTCATGATATTTAAAGTTACTAGCAACACTGTACTATATCTGCGCCTGCTCTGTGCATGTGTCAAAATGTTAATCAATGTTGTTTTACACAATTCAATTTTTGGTTTCATAACTTCAACCGTGAATTTCTGGAAAGTTCTGCCATGGATTCCTCACAGCGCACCTATTTTCAAAGCATAAGCTAAAAACAGGTCAAAAGTCAACGCGGTATGCTTGCGGGATGAGCGTGATCATCAAGGCGATGACCGTTGCCAAGTACAACTCTAGATAGAGCTGGACTCAGTGCGTAGCAGCCTTTGTAAAAAATTACTTCTCTCGTTAATTTCTAAGAATTCAAGGCAAACCAATAAATCCATCGGGTAGGGTAAGTCTTCCCTTACTCGCTGGTTATGTCGATTTGCCAGGGACGGTCATGACTTTCGAGAAATCATCGAGAGAAGTCATTGTTTACAAAAGTTGTTACGCCCTAATTCCAGCTCTATCTAGAACTGTAATCTGGGGGTGATAGTGGAATTCTTCCGGTAGGAAGGCTTTGGTGTTTTATAACAGTTTGGTCGAAGTTGGGAAGGGGAGGAATATTCATAGGTTTGGCGGAGAAGAAGCCGTTGGAGGGTTTGTACTCACGGCTACGCATTCCTGGGTTGGTCCTCGGGAGCTCCCAAGTTGTTCCGCTGCAGCGCGCAGGTTCACCACCGAGTGATGATTGTCCGCCGCAGAATGCTGTTGCACCGCCTGACGCTCTTCTACGCTTACCCGGTTTTCCACTGCCGAGAACTGTCCGGCCGCTCAGCGCTGTTCCGCTGCCGATGTGTTGTAGCTCAGATGTAGAGCTTCCAACCGTTCGATCAATGCTGCTCCTTTACCAGGAATGACTGCTTCTCTTTTGTTAGCCTGGCTTGCTCTTGGGCGTACTGTTGCTCGAAAAGCTTCAGTCGGTTCACCAGCTTCAGTTCTCTCTTCCTCCGGACATCATTCTCTCTTTGATATTTCGCTCGACGTCGTGCTGCTTCTCCAGCATGGCTTCGATTTGTTGCATACGTTGCCTGTCCCGCTCCCGCTGTTCCTCGGATTGCCTCACTAAATGGATTAACTTCTGCTCGCGCTGCTGTTGAAAATGCTGCCTCGTTTTTCTCGCGTTGCCACATTGTATATGGTATGGTTCCCATAAGCTTAGGGGCGACACTCAAAAGTTTGTCCATAATCAGCGGGTGTTCTCCGAACTTTGAGCCTGTACTTCGTCCAGAAGGCGAACATACGACTGGATGTTAACTATCGGTAGAAGATGGACATTCACTTGAAAACCGGCATGCCGTTGTTGCTGTCCGAATGGTTCCTTCGCGAAATCGTCTTCGATCTCCGGACTGTCCCCAATGGAAATACCGACCGTGGTGCGAGGGATCAATTCCGTAATTCCAGCTGGGACCCGCTGGTTACTACGTTCGGGAAATTCGTTGATTTCCATGGGCCGTTGACGATCCGACAGGCTGTAGTGTTGATCGGGTAGCGTGTGAGTCGATAGCGGGGTCACCGTGGGTGGATGTTTGTTGTTCGAACCACGCTTCCATCTTCTGTCTGCTGCTTGTCTGGCTCCGACTGCTTCATCCGCTTCGCACGCTTGCCAAATCATCGTCGTGTTGGCGAAGCAGCTCGTGCTTCCGTACCAAATATTCTTTTTCTCGTTGCAGCTTAACGTTCATTGTCCTCTCGATCAGCAGTTTTTCCTTTTGCAGCTGCTCTTCTTCCAGTTGTTCCCGTAAACGTATTTCGTCCTCCAGCTTCTTCAGTTCCCAGCCCAGTCATCGAACTAGCGGGGGGTGGAGGGATCTTCGGTACACACTTCTCAGAGATGAAATCACTGGATCTTACTGTAGCAATATCCATCTTTCCGCACGAGAAATGATACCAGTGTTTGCATTTCCCGCACAGTACCATGTATAACTCGGCATTGTTGGGCCGCTTACATTCCGCACAATCGTATTCCTCACCGTGCTCTACACGAAACGAAAATCAACTATTTTATTCATGTGTTTCACTTATACATTTTTGCCAAAACATCAGCCTTATACATTCCATAAGATAAACCACATAGGTCCTATAAGAATGCATAAAAGCAGACCCCCTTCACTCTTTGGAATTTATAGAGACAGATAACAGCGCCAATAGGTATGTGACGATACAACGTTGAACTGCAGCGTTGGAAGAAAACACGCACACCATCATCTGTACATGTACGAACCCACACCACTGAGCGGAGGGTACAGCGCAAATCAAAACACGAAGCGGTGTCATCACTCATCGTCATCACTCAGCTTCGGCAGCTTCAGTTTACGATTTCATTCGCCGTCATTGAAAAATACCTTCGTTACAAAATAGAAAAGTAATCATTATTCCAACGTAATTTTTGAATAGCCAATAGCAGCGTTGGCCTAGGAAAACGGCAAACAGCAAGTGAGCTTGCATTGTGATTGTTTTCTCAAGCGTTTCTGATGCTTATAACGTGGTATTTGAAAATCGATGCAATCATAACGAAGTGAAAATCTTGCTACCGCAATATAATAATGATGACATCGATCAACCTCTTCGCTCGGCTGATCATCAACGTCCACGCTGACACCTGTCATTTGTTGAGCCCTGGTGGTGAAGTTGACGGGGGACTTCCAACAGTTTCAATGTGCGCTCACGAGACGGCACTGCGATCACATAAGGGTGGTGTATCCATTGCCTTGTTCGAGGAATTGATTAGTGGGATATCTTGTTAATTAAATATCTTTGATAAAAGGTATGTGTGATCGCTTATACATTTCATTCGACACATGATCTTCATTAACATTTTGCGAGGCGTCTGCTTATGAGTTGACTTATACATTTTATGAATAATCAGCAATAGAAATTTGCTTATAATGTGGTATTTGAAAATCGATGCAATCATAACGAAGTGAAATTCTTGCTACCGCAATATAATAATGATGACATCGATCATCCTCTTCGCTCGGCTGATCCAAGGTGCCTACATATAGGTGTTCTAATGTGTCAAATTCATGATTCAGCCATGTTGGATTTTTGTATGGGACAGCGACCGAGTTTGTTTACAATTTGCTCTAAAACCGCACTTTTCCCCCCCGCGACCTCCTCGCCTATATAGTGACAAAGCTGTATCACCATTTATATACCCACCATGGGCTGATCATCAACGTCCACGCTGACACCTGTCATTTGTTGAGCCCTGGTGGTGAAGTTGACGGGGGACTCCCAACAGTTTCAATGTGCGCTCACCAGACGGCACTGCGATCACATAAGGGTGGTGTATCCATTGCCTTGTTCGAGGAATTGATTAGGGGCTGTCCATAAACTACGTAGACAGTTTGGGGGGGGGGGGTGAAAATTATCCACAGTCCATACAAATTTTATAATTTTTGTATGGGCAATTGTCTACGCAGGGGGAGGGGGGGTCAAGAATCCCAAAAAACTGTCTACGTAGTTTATGAACAGGCCCTTAGTGAGATATCTTGTTAATTAAATATCTTTGATAAAAGGTATGTGTGATCGCTTATACATTTCATTCAACACATGATCTTCATTAACATTTTGCGAGGCGTCTGAAGTTTGCCAACAGGTATAAGGAAATTTCTATCCGTGTACGTCAATCACCGAAGGTTTGAATTCCCCGTCATCAAAAATTCGTTCGTCATCACGAAACCGTGTCCGTGCACCGTTACTGGAAGGAGGCTGCGAAACCCTGGTAGCTGCATCTTGGGTCGCTCGAGTTTTCGACCGAGGTGAAGCTTTCAGGGGGGCGCGTCGATAGACGCATTCGTCGCAACAGAACTGATCCGAACACAGCTTTCAGAACTCTATGAGGTACGAATTGATTATGCAAGCCGCATAGCAGGTCGTAAGGGGATCGGTGTCCATACAAAGGCCACCATCTGGTCGTAGTAGTTTTATCAGTGGCCATCAGTTTACCATGTTTGATTCCGTAACGCTTTACCACTTCGTCCATCAGCCAACCGACATTCAGTTTCATTCATTGAGTTCCTCATCGTAGCTGACATCGATGAATTCGCCTTCGATGATCACTCGGATCATGTTCGGAGGTAGAATTTTCACCGGTGTTTGCTTTACTACCATCGACAGCGCTCCGATTTTCGCCAGAGACATCATACTTCTCTCCATTTGTCCGATCGTTGGACTGTCTGACCGTGTGAACATATTAAACCATATTATACCAGGGAAGTCTGATTCCGGTTGAAACTCCCACTAGAACGCTGGCGACGCATCTTTGACTGAGAATCTTAAGATCATCTGGACCAGTTTCCTCTGACGATGCACGCTCGCTTTCGTCTACTTACCACCATCACCTGTAGTTCATCCGAGGCCTCATCATACTCCAATCCAGTATATCCCCCGGAGAACGTTCTCGCTCGAAGCTTCGATTCGGTGGCTGAAGCCGTTGCTTATTAGGTTCAGTGTAGTCCTTTTCCGAGATAATTTGCGAGCAACGAACCGAGAGTCACGACAGTTAAGCTGGGTTTAGACAGGGCAAGTCAATTGATCAAGTCAGTTGAATTCAACTGACTTGAACGCGAACTGAACGTGTAAACCATGCCATTCAGCTGACTTGAACAACTCACTTGAATTGAAAAAAAAAGTTGACCCAGGTTCAACTTTTCAAGCCAATTCAATTGAACTGAATTGATCATTTGATTTGCCTACTCTAAGCCCAGCTTTAGGATCTGGGATAGGATTCCACTTCTTAGTTGTTTTGTTTCTTCAAAACAAAATATGTGAACTGTCAAATTAGCCGGGTTGCCAAACATTACATTCTACAAACAAAAAATTCAGTCTGATGACACTCTCGGCACACTGAGAAAAAAGTTGGCGCAAAATAAGTGTGCAGAGTGACCAACCCTTGGGCAATAAGCTGTTAGATGAGCACGGTGTGTAAGAACAATATTATAGCAAAAAAAAAGCATTGCTAAATCCTTTATATTGGAATAGATCTTATTACCTTTCATTTGAAACCTATTTGAAAGTAATACACCGAGGGATACAGAACAAATTTTTTTAGACGTGGGATTACATCTTTCGGCACATATTGGGTATGCAATTTCAAAAAACCAAAATCGTCCGCGTTACAAAAAGTAGTCAGGTTTTGTCCACTTATAACTCTGTCAATAGAGAATGGAGTTTAATTCTAAACAAGCCAATCGATTGAAAAATTTTCTACGAATCTGTTAAAGTGAACACTACATCAATTTTCAATTTTCAATATTCACTATACACGTAAAATTCTCGCACATAAAATTTTTCCTCACCAGATAGAAAGTTACTACCTTGGACAAAGTTGTTCAGTAGGACAAGGCCTTTTGGAGTTTTCTCACTACGCGACACTAGTATACATTTGGAATTCTCGCATATAATATATCTCCAGACACTGACCAGATCGAGGGGGACGACTCTATCAACGATGCAAAAAAGATTGTGTTTTGCTGTGGCTAGCTGCACGCACGTTGAGTAGATTTAAAGAAGATTGATGACGATTCTGAAGGTTTCCTGCAAAAAATTGATGAGCGATGCAAGTAGATGCGACAAATGAAAGAAGATTGTTCGAAGATTGATTCGCTAGTGTGAGATTTGTTGACCATCTAAACTTGAGATTTAGATGTGTCGCCCCCCTCGGACCAGATAGAAAGTCACTGCCCTCGACAAAGTTATTCAGGAGAGAATTCTGAACTACTGTCCACCAACGAAAAGATCTTGACTTCCTGAACAACTTTGCCGAAGACATTTACTTTCTATCTGGTTAGAATCTCATGATATATCACATGCGAGAATTGCACAAGTATACTAGTGCTACGTAGTGAGGAAATTCTAAACTACTGTCCACCAGCAATAACAAATGAAAAAACCTTTGCCTAAGACAGTTACTTTCTATCTGGTCACGATCTCGAGATATTCCTTGTTGTAACCAATTTTGTCAAATCCCACGTAGTATTGACGCAGCTTCCATTTACATTTTCCGTATTATCCGCCTTTATTGGGCATTTACTGTAATCAAAGTTTAGTTTGTTTGGTTCAAAACAAGGCTTTTGAGAAATACACATTGTTTTCCGATCGATTGGTAACTCAGCAACAAAATGGCAATGCAAATCTTTAAATGTGTTGTACAAAGTACATAAGCGCGAGTAACGGAGGGTTAAAAACATTTCACAGTTTAGCAATTACAATGTTTCACGGAACTTTGAGATGATGGCGGAAACGTACATCAGACTGAAGGCTGAAGCTAGGTGGATTGGACTTGCCATCAACGCATCGAAGACAAAATACATGAAAGGAAGAGGTTCTAGGGAAGACAATGTTAGCCTCCCACCCCGACTTCAGATTGACGGTGACGAAATCGAGGTGGTCGATGAGTTCGTGTGTTTGGGCTCACTGGTGACCGCCGAAAATGATACCAGCAGAGAAATTCAAAGACGCATTATGGCAGGGAATCGTGCCTACTTTGGACTCCGGAGGACGCTCCGGTCGAATAAAATTCGCCGCCGCACGAAGTTGACTGTCTACAAGACGCTGATTAGATCGCTGGTCCTCTACGGCCACGAGACCTGGACTATGCTCGTGGAGGACCAACGCGCCCTTGGTGTTTTCGAACGGAAGGTGTTGCGTACCATCTACGGTGGAGTGCAGATGGATGAAGGAACGTGGAGGAGGCGAATGAACTACGAATTGCACCAGCTGCTGGGAGAACCATCCATCGTCCACATTGCAAAAATTGGGCGACTACGGTGGGCTGGGCACGTCATAAGAATGCCGCACGAAGACCCAGTGAAAATGGTTCTAGAAAGCGACCCAACAGGAACAAGAAGAAGAGGCGCGCAGCGGGCAAGGTGGATCGACCAAGTAGAAGGTGACCTGCGGACCCTTCGCAGACTACGAGGCTGGCGAACTGTGGCCATGGATCGAGTAGAATGGAGACGACTTCTTCGGACAGCAGAGGACAACAAGGCCTTAGCCTGATTGGTAAGGTAAGGTAATGTTTCTCTTAGTCAGGCTTGATGGAACCTCGCTCGCGAGATTGAAATGAGCCGAGCGTAGCATTTTTCTGAGGAGTAAAATGCCTACTACCAAATCATTCCACTGAGCGTCAGAGCTTGTGAGCGAAAGGGGATAAAATGAGAGTGAGGTTTGCTGCCATTCATGTTCTTGTTTTCTATCACACGCTCTTACTCTCACTCTGGGTGAGCTCTGAGCTTCTTGCGTCGAACGAAAAAATCACCCGGTGTCTTGAAAAGCGCACCTCACGTCAAATCATTCTCACGCTAAAGTTCACTCTCCCTCTCTCTTTCTCTCGAGGAGTTTTTGTTTACTTCTTCCATATTCCTGCCGCCACTCACTCGAGGTGAGGGCTGACTAAACTCGCAGGACAAGAGTGTTTTAAAACCTCCAGTGAGTTTGAGGAGTTTCAGCAAGCCTGCTCTTACACTGAGATTATTAATCAAACGAAATTTCATAGAAATGTCGTATGATTTTTTGCGTCGACCGAACTATGAAAAACTGTCAGTTTTTTGTTAATCAGCCATCGTATGATTTTTCATGCATATAACTACCCAAGTAACAATTTTGGTTTTATGAGGGTTCTGTAGACCATGATTTGGACTTGTAGAATGCTATAAAACCTCTATAAAGCTTGCAATATTACTTGAGTATGAATCTCAATAGAAACGAACAATTTCATTTATCATTTCGTATGAAACTCACAAAGGATATGAATGAAAAATATAGTTTGAGTTGATTAATTACTATATTAGTGATGGTGACGACTAGTACTTGAGTGATTTGCTTAGTTTAACGGCTTTCTAAGTCTTAATCTCACTCTAACGACAACGATTTAATCTGCCCGACGTTTCGGCCATGGACCATGAACTAAAACCTATGACCGAAGCGTTGGGTTTCTAAGCAAATAAGAATTCGAAGTCTCAGAATTAGGATTCTGTTTTATCTTAAATCTTGATTTTTCTTCTGTGATCTTAAAAAAAATCTATGTTTGCATCATCTTGATGCTCTCGGATCTCTACAAAGGATTTCTTAAGAATGCTTTCAAGGATTTCCTTAGAAACATCTCAACATTTTCTCAGAGTGCGTTTTAGAACTCTCTCTCTGATATTTCTTTTTGCTCCATAATTATATACAAATTCTCTACAGAAGACTGTTTGATTCACTCTACATCTCTCTTAAAATTTTTAATTTTATGAACTTTGCAAAGAATTCTCCTGAAATAATCTCATCTCAATATTCATTGATTATTCTCCTAAAATTCTCATGGAATTAATTTCGGAATTCCCTCTTAATTCCTTGAAATGGTCCTCAGAATTCCTTAGGAAATCTTCTTTGAGTTCTCTAAAAATTATAACAGGGATAGCCTCTAAATTTTCCTCAAAACTTCAGTGGAAGAATTCCTTTGGAATTAACGTCAGAACTTTCATAGAATTCGTTTCAGAATTCCTTTTGGATTATCCTAATTCTTTTGGCATTCTACTCACAAGTATCATTGAGTTCTTCTTCTTCTTATTCGCATTTCAAGCTTATTGCTTATCGCATATTAGCTTATTGCGTACTCTCAACTTATAGCGAATTCGTTTATTATTCAGTTCCAACCTGGATCGGGTATCAAGATTGGGTCTGCTTGTTTTCTGACAAACGTCAGTTTGCTCGTTTGTTTTTAAAACCTAGCTCAGGTTGAGGTTCACACTGACAAAAAGTTCGGTTTCGCACTGGGTTGGAACTGGTGTTAACCCCGATAATAAACGAATTCGCTATTAGTGTTCTAGATGCACTTCCACAGTTATTAATTGAGCGCTTTCGATGCCTGTACCATTTTTGCATAAGTAAATTCTAGATAGAGCTGGTATTAGGGCGTAACAGCTTTTGTAGATTGTGTGGCAAGTACAATCATAATCTATGTCCAGGGAAGTCGAGAAATTTCCCAACCCGAAAAATTCCTACCGGGTATCGAACCCATCCAGCATGGTCTTGCTTTGTAGCTGCGCCTCTACCGACTGATCTAACTACTGCAAAACTACTCGGCTGTTAAAAAAAATTAAGTGTAAGGTTATGGTTAGTCATTCGCCGACCCTGCTGGTTAAACTAAACTTACCAATTTCACATGTACACTTCTTTTCTACTAACTCCTCGTTTCGATCATCAGTAAAATGCTCCAACTAGATCAAATATCGCATTATCAGCAAAACAACACCAATCCATTCACCAATCACAACCACGGCTGCATATCACAATACACGAATAATTCCCCCGGTCAATCTTCCACCATCATTATCAATAGCAACACCAGAAGCACAAATGAATGACACCAAAAATGGGCGGTCGACACAAATATCACCCAATCAATTTTCCACTTCGTCACACTTTCTTCAATCTTCACTTCGCTGGTTGGAACTGGTGTTAACCCCGATAATAAACGAATTCGCTATTAGTGTTCTAGATGCACTTCCACAGTTATTAATTGAGCGCTTTCGATGCCTGTACCATTTTTGCATAAGTAAATTCTAGATAGAGCTGGTATTAGGGCGTAACAGCTTTTGTAGATTGTGTGGCAAGTACAATCATAATCTATGTCCAGGGAAGTCGAGAAATTTCCCAACCCGAAAAATTCCTACCGGGTATCGAACCCATCCAGCATGGTCTTGCTTTGTAGCTGCGCCTCTACCGACTGATCTAACTACTGCAAAACTACTCGGCTGTTAAAAAAAATTAAGTGTAAGGTTATGGTTAGTCATTCGCCGACCCTGCTGGTTAAACTAAACTTACCAATTTCACATGTACACTTCTTTTCTACTAACTCCTCGTTTCGATCATCAGTAAAATGCTCCAACTAGATCAAATATCGCATTATCAGCAAAACAACACCAATCCATTCACCAATCACAACCACGGCTGCATATCACAATACACGAATAATTCCCCCGGTCAATCTTCCACCATCATTATCAATAGCAACACCAGAAGCACAAATGAATGACACCAAAAATGGGCGGTCGACACAAATATCACCCAATCAATTTTCCACTTCGTCACACTTTCTTCAATCTTCACTTCGCTGGCACATGTGCGGTGGAACACACGATCTTTCAAATAATCAAATAGACTCGCCGTCGTATCCAATGGCAACTGCAACCACGGCCACAACCGCAGCTTCCTCATCTTTCTTCATCGCGCATCATTATTTCATCAAATGCGATTTAACACGAAACTATTTGGTGGACGACGAAGCTCTCCCCTTGATTGGTTGGTTGGGTACACTACAAACCGGGCGTTGTTTTCTGTTGCGATTCTGTATGCTGCCAGCTTAAAAAATTCAAACGATTTCGGCGGCACGCGATTCGATTCGGAAAACTTGCAGTGCTGACTGACACACACACACCCACTCGGGGGAAATTACGCTGAGTAACGAACGAAAACGAAAAAAAACTAACCAAAGTAGGCCACGCAACTATCGATTAACGATCCGAGTCTAGAAGAGCCGGATTAGCGGAAAAAGGTTTTCCGATTTGAATGAAAACCCAAACTCAAACGGTGAGCAGAGTGAAATTATTGAAACAAACAAAGCAAGCCGAGCAGCGAAGAACGAACGCGCGATCACCAATAGCGGTGGTGAAATTTCAGCTGACAACACGAACTGTTTCGATCGAAGGCGGACGATCAACTGAAGATCGGGCTTCTACAGCTCAGCATCCATTGTTGATGTTTTGCTTTCATCGCTGTGGCTGGAAAACCGACGATCGATCGGTCCGTAGACGAAAGAGAGCGCGGTGAGTGACTATGCGCAGTAGCTCAGTGAGATCTAGCGCTCGCTCGTTTGGCGTGGAAACATGTTTCGCTCCACGTGCTTACCGAAGCGTGTTCCTCGCAGTATAATGTTCAGGCTGGAAATTTTCTCGACATCCCGAGGGTAAAGCATTATTGTGGATGCCACACAATACGCAAAATTACAAATATGCAAAAATGGCACAGGCTCTCAATCCAAAAAATGTCGATATGCTCCAAGAACACTAAGCGTAGGTGAAAAGCTGTATGGAGACGTTGGCCGCTTTGAAAGGTGAAATTTAGCTGTTGATGCGCCCCCTATTTTTTTCCTTGATTTCTTTTCCGTCGATCTTGTTTTCCGTGCTGAGCACCAATGCTACCGACGCCAGGGAGACAGCTTCCACACCTACCTATCGACCCATCAACTTTGGGATTGCATCCAATTGAGCTGACTTCTTGAGTGAAGTTTCTTGGATTAATTAGGACTACAATTTGGTGGAAACAAATAGTTCAATGGGCGGACATTCAGGTCACCCCGCCCCAACGACGAATCGGAAGCTAGCAAGCACGAGTGATGGCGGTCAGGTCGTTCTTGAATTTTCTTGCTAATCCGTTGATGGCGGCACACTGGCAGTAAACAACGATGAAGCAGACATTTCCTGTTGCCGATTTCACCTCCACACTAAGAGCTTCGATGATGGAAGTGACAACGATCGCTACACCCCCGGTGGAAACTAACAACCGGTGGAAACTAATGATTTTAAATTGGCTCCTTACTTGACTAGCCTATTGGTTCCAAGCAAATCGACTAACGTACCCCATTCTAGTTGAAATTCTAGTACTACACTTTGTTTGTTTTGATTGACTATGAAAGTTTGACAGATAAAATAAGGGGTTCGTGGATTTTCCTATGTTTCGAGGGGTGCATCGATTAGCTTGGCGACACATCTAAATCTCAAGTTTAGATGCTTAACAAATCTCCAACTAGCGAATCAATCTTCGAAAAATCTTCTTTCATTTCTCGTATCTACTTGCATCGCGCATCATCTTTTTGCAGTAAATCTTCAGAATCATCGTCAATCTTCTTTCTATCTACTCAGCGTGCACGCAGCTAGCCACAGCAAAACACAATCTTTCCTGCATCGTAGATAGAGTCGTCCCCCTCGGACCGAAGATAGTACCAGAGCTGAGCCAAAAAGTTGAGCACGTTTCTTCGGGACCTTCTGGTCTTCGAGTTACCTCTATGGTACCGCTGCTTGAGTTGAGGGCACGTCTGCTAGCGTGTCCCGTACGCTGGCAGGCAGACCGTGGACTCAACGAAGGTGCTCGAATTGTGGACATACGCATAACACGTGCTCGACCGTCGAAGGAATATGGCAGAGTTCACAGGTCTTCCTGAAAGGGCCTCCACTGAAATACCGTGAGATTAGGGGGCGTCCTGTCCGGAGTCTGGCACTGTTCCATTCCGTTGCCCACGCTGTCCATCCGTGTTGAGTATATACAACGCAGTATGCCTTGCTTTTAGAGCATAACTTCATTTTCTTCAGTTCAAATTATACTACTGACAAATAAAGACGTTCCTTTCAATTGTAGTTCGAATAGTATTTCGAGTCCAGTCCGATTGTTCCCACTTCTGCCGATAGGTTATGGGCCCAGGCAGTGCAATCGGAACTGGTGAAGATGGAATTTAAATTCGTAACGAAATGGCGGACAAGCTGATGTCGTTTTCAAGGCTCAATGGATCCAATTACGATAACTGGAGTTTCCGGATGAAGCTGTTGCTGACCAAGGAAGGAAATTGGACGACCATAGCGGACGCAAGGCCAGAAGCGACCAAGGATGATCAAGCGCTGGCATCGATTGGATTGGCCGTGGAGGATAACCAATTAATCCACATAAGGAAGGCCAAATCGGCGGCGGAGGCGTGGAAAGCTCTAGAAAAATTCCATGTCAAGAAAACGTTACCGACTAAGGTCTCTGTGATGCGGAAAATTTGTAGTCAACGCCTGGAAAAACATTGAGATATGGAAGCGCACGTATCGAAGTTCTCGGAATTGTTCGAGAAGCTCAACAATTTACAGCCGGAAAAGATCCTTGACGACCAATGTTTGGTCGCGATTTTGTTCAGCAGTCTGCCGGAGGAGTACGAGACGTTGGTAACCGTCCTTGAAGCTCGACCAGAGAATGATTTGACCCTGGATATGGTGAAGGGCAAGCTCATCGATCAATGGCAGAAAAAGAAGCAGCGCAACGATGATAGCGATAATCCTGAAGCTGTTCTCTATGCAAGTTCAAAGGCCGAAAAAGACCGGTGCTTCTTCTGCAAAAAGTTAGGTCACCAGAAGGCAAATTGCGAAAAGTTCAGAGTACGGAAGGCGGAGAAAGAAAACGGAGCTGTATCCAAGCAACAGAAAGCCAAACACGTATCGCAGCAAGATGATGATGATAGCTACGCGTTTCTCACTGGATGCAATAGTCAAGCGGAAGACCAATGGATTTTGGATTCCGGTGCAACCTACCACATTGCAAATTACCGGAACTTCTTCGAGGATTTGGATGATGCAGCTACTGCGGACGTTTGGGTCGCCAACGGGACGAAGGTACGTTCCAAAGGCCGAAGTGCTGGGTGAATAAATGTGCTAGATGGTTCTGGTCGACTACGTGAAGTTCCAATAGAAAGCGCTTTGTATGTTCCTGAAATGAAGTCAAGTTTGCTATCCATGAAGCGGCTGGTGCAGAAAGGATTCGTCGTCAGATGTTCGCTACTCTAGTAGCTCTTCCTCCTCGATGTCACGAACTAATGATACTGGCCAATTTTCTTCTGTTTCAGAGAGCCAACTTGGGCCCCTCCACCACAGCGGATGTGTTAGTAGTTCCAAAGGCGTGATACCTCGCGAGGCGCAGTCGGCAGGGTTGTCTCTTGACGACACATGGAACCAACGATTGCTGGGAAGATGTTGCAAAATCTTGGAAGTTCGATTAGCCACGAACGTTTTCCACTTCCTTGGCAGTGAAGATAGCCAATGGAGCACGATTTCTGAATCACTCCACGCGAACAATTCCACCTCCAAGTGCGAGAATGATTCCATGACCTTAATCATCAAGTCGACGAGTAGTTCCGCAGCCAGCAGCTCCAAGCTTGGCAGTGAAACTTGAAGAATAGGAGCCACCCTGGTCTTGGCCACTACCAGATTCGTTGCGATTCTTCCTTCTTGGTCGATAGTGCGTGCGTAGACGACAGCGGCGTATGCAGCTTCAGAGGCGTCCGCGAACCCATGGAGTTGCAGTTTGCCTTCAAAGTTGGGAATCCATCTCTTAATCTGAATCCTCTCGATATGGTGCAATGTTTCTTTCAACGCAATCCACTCTTCCAAAATGAATGCTGGAAGTGGATCATCCCAGCCCAAGTCATAGAGCCACAGGTGTCGGAATAATATTTTCATTCGGATGACCACCGGCGCGATCCAACCGAATGGATCGAAGAGTTTTGATGAATCGGACAGCAGCTGACGCTTGGTATTTGCGCCATAGATGTCAAACGTGAGCTTGAAACTAAATATGTCCTCTTGAGGCATCCATCTGATTCCCAAAGCCTTGACACAATCATCTTCTTGGGGTAGCTTTAGCGGAATGGGCTCGTCTTGAATTGCACCGCACTCCAACAATTGAGGCTCATTTGAGCTCCACTTTCGTAGGACAAAGCCAGCGCTCTCCAGAACGTGGGTGATTTCATTACGGAGGAGCTTGGCGTCGTCGATGGAATCTGCGCCCGAAAGTAGATCATCCACATAGAAGTTTCGGGGAATCCGCTCAGCTACCAGCGGATGGTCTTCCTTGTTGTCTTCAGCGACCCGTCGCAAAGCCGCCATAGCTTGATACGCTGCGCACGCCGTACCGAAGGTAACGGTCAGCAAACGATAATGTTCCAGTGGCTGGACCGGACTGTTTCGCCACACTATTCGTAGGTAATCGGCATCTTCTCTGGCAATGAGAATTTACCGGTACATTTTCACGATGTCGGCGATAAAGGCGATGTTGTACGTGCGCCAGCGAAGGAATACGTTAAAGAGCGACTCGTTCACGTTCGGTCCAACTAGCAGGCAGTCATTAAGTGACACCCCGGAACCACTCTTGCTCGAGGCGTCGAATACGACGCGCAACTTTGTCGTCGTACTATCCACCTTCCACACGGCGTGATGGGGAAGATAGAATGATTTCTCTGGTGCAACCGCAACCTCGCTAGGCGGTACCTTCTCCATATGACCGAGAGTCAAATACTCAGTCATAAACTGCTGGTAATGATGCTGTAGTTCTGGATCGATGCTGAATTTCCGCTCCATGGCCTTAAACCGCCGGATGGCAGCAGTAGCCGATTTGCCCAGTTCTGGCTTTGTACGGTCGAAGGGTAAGCGAACTACGTATCGCCCTGATTCATTCCGGGATGGGGTGGAGTGGAAATGTTCGGCAGCCCGCAACTCGTCCGGCGTGAGCTGTTTAGATTTAGGCACCTCCTCTACCTCCCAGAATTTCCGGAGCGTTTGGTCCAGGTTCAATGATGTCGTTAAGCTGAGCACCGCACGACCTTCGGCGGCATGCGATGTATTGGAGTGGCCACCAACCAGGTAGCCGAAGACGGAGTTTTGCGCAATGGGTACACCCCGACCGTCGTACCATAGAGGTAACTCTAAGAGCACTGGGTCCCGAATAAAATCATTATTATTTTTGGCTCACTCAGTACCAGAACAACGGTCCCAAGCAGTCCCAAGCTATTTCACTCACCCCTGCATGTTCTGCATGAATCCACACACCCCTGATGTTATCTGTCAAACTTTCATAGCGAATCAAAACAAACATAGTGTAGTAATAGAATTTCAACTAGAATAGGGTACGTTAATCGTTTGCTTGGAACCAATAGGCTACTAAAGTGGTGAGCCAATTTAAAATCGTTAGTTTCGTATTGATTGTTGGTCGTACAGCTTTCCCGGTTCTAGAATGGAAAAAAGAGCTTCTATTCCCAACAAAAGATCGATCTTACCGCACTTGTTATAGCTTGGATCTGCGAGAGGTGCCTCGGCTAAGGCACCAGCATCGACTTCAAACGGTTGACTCGGTTGGTCCGGAACCAATTTTTTTTAGTATTAAGGCTTCCACCACGATGACGACACGGTCGTCGAATCGCGATGATATCTGCAGCGTGACTGCTCCTGTTGTCTTGCTGGGATTCCCATCAGTGATTCCGTTAACGAGAATATTAGCGTTGCGCCTTTCCAGGCCAAGACGTTCGAATGTTTGATTGCTGATCAGCGAGTTCATACAGGCAGAGTCCATCATTGCCCGTACTTCATGGAAAACGTTGTTTTTTTTTCCCAGCACCTTGATGACAGTCGTAGGCAGCAAACTAAGGAAGTTCACTGAACAGCTGGTTTTGAGATCCGCGACATACGATGTCACAGAATTCGCTTGCTTTGGTACTTCTGATGTTCTTGTTGGCTGCTTCTTTATAGTTGCTTCATCTTCACGGAGTTGGCTGGAATCAGGAACAGAGCTGTCGTCAATTGAGCAGAGCAGCGAATGATGCTTTTGCTTGCATTGTTTGCATACAACTGTCGACGTACAGTTCTTCACAATGTGGGTCGTTTTGAGGCAATTAAAACAGAGCTTGGCTCGTTGGGTGAACTCCCGTCGTTCACTCACTGGCATTTCTTTGAAGCTGGCACACTGGTATATTGTGTGAGCTTCTGAACACTTAGAACACGGTTGCTGGGTGCTTGCGTGAAAACTTTGAATGGTCTTACTTGACGATGTATTCTTCGTGTTTTGGTCCGTTCTCCGATCTTGTTCCTTCTTCGTGGTCGTATCAGTTCCCTTCTTGGAAAAGGACGCGCAAGTTTCCAAGGCATCGCATCTTCGCTCGAGGAATGTGACAAACTCTTGGAAGCTAGGATTGTCCAAATCGACTTCTGAGCCCACAACGAACGGGTTTCACGGTCGAGCTTTTCCAATAACAGATGAATTAACCAGGGGTCACGAGATTCATACGATTCACCGAGAGCCTTGAGCTGCCGCACAACTTCATCCGAGGTTGACACAAGTTTGCGGAGCCCAACAAGACTAGGCGCAGCAACCGGCGGCTGGTCCACAAATTCTTTGACAAGTGCCGCGACGGTATACTTCTTCTTATCGTAGAACTCGTTTAGCTTATCCCACACTTCCACATAGTTGGCGTCGGTGATAGTGAACGCGCTAACCAACTGCTTCGCCTCTCCATCTAAGTGGGACAGCAGGTACTGCAGCTTCACGGAAACTTTGAGATTTTTCGAGTGAATGCAGCTTACAAATAGGTCCTTGAAGGAAGTCCAGAGTTTCCGCTCGCCCTTGAATACCGGAAGAGTTATTGTTGGCAAGCGCACCTCAATCGGAAGTTGACCCCCGGAAGCCTGAGCATCAGCAAACGGACGGGAAAGATTCATGGAACCTACTTGGCCAGCCAACTGTGACACGGTGTTCGAAGCTGCAGTTTGTGACGTCATCAGTAGCCGCTGTGAATCCAACAGCAACTTGATTACCTCTTTCAGATCATCCATTGGTTCGGCAACTGTACTTTCGCTGCTTTCGTGGGGGTTATGTTCGTCGAGTAGCTTGACGTAGCGCCCTTTTAATTGATAGTACATTTCTTCGAACTCAAACCGGTGATTGAAGACCGAGTTGATTTCTTCGAGCGCTTCAGACTGCTCTTCGATTTCACATTGCACTTTGTCAAATTGCTCACAAAGTTCAGTGAGTCTGTTCAATCGCTCCTGAATCTCGCCGAAAGGAGGATTTCTTCTTTCGACCGCACTGGCGTTATTCTGCTCCCATTTCATGCGCTGAAAAAACACATCGCGACGTTTCCGAATCGCTTCCATAGCGATTCCATACCAATGTTTTCGGGAGAGAGCCGGCGGAACGCAATAAAACGCGGCGAACTAATTGAAACGAAAATTTACTGTATTTTACTTATATTTTACAAGAAAGAAACGTGTTGTCGACCGCTCGGTCGGACGAATGAAAAACTGATGATTTCCGGAAGCGGTATTTTTCTTCTATGTTGGGAGCGCGGGACGACGAGTTTGACAGCTGGTTTTGCGAGGGGTAGGACCACGCACGAACATCTAAGTTGGGCGGAGGGTTGGACTGCACGCGAACAAACGGCGTTCCTCAACGGCAACCTTGAGGAGGAGATCTACATGAAGCAGCCTCCCGGGTGTGTCGTCAGCGGTATGGAAAACAAGGTATGCCATTTAAAGAAAAGTTTGTACGGGCTCAAGCAAGCGGCTCGTTCTTGGAACCAGCGACTGCATGAGGTGATGGAAGCGGATGGTTTTGAGCGATGTGACGCAGATCCCTGCCTGTACAGAAAGTGAGCTGGTAGCAAGTGGTGCTATGTCCTCGTGTATGTGAATGATTTCATCGTAGCGAGCGAGGATGAACGCATGATCGACGCATTGAAGCGAACGCTTGCGAGAAATTTCCAAATCAGCTGCCTCGGTGATGACAAGTTTTACCTCGGGATCGAAGTCGATCGAGACCATGCTGGAGATTTTCTTATCAACCAGCCGAAATACATTGAAGACGTCATCTGTTCTGTTGGCCTACAGGATGCGAAAGTGTCAACCGTGCCAATTGATCCTGGGTACATCAAGACGGAAGATAACGATGGCCAGCTCCCAAATAATCAAGAATATCAAAAGGTAGTTGGGCAGCTGTTGTACATCGCAGTCAACAGCAGACCTGACATCGCAACGGCAATCTCAATCTTGAGTCGTAAGGTGAGTTACCCAACCCAACGTGACTGGAACGAGTTGAAGCGAATGGTTCGCTACCTGAAGGGGACGATTGATCTGAAGCTTCGACTGAGTAGCAGTGGTGATTCATCTGGTCTGGTGGGTTACGCTGATGCCGATTGGGCAGAATGTCGCGACGACAGGAAGTCCAATAGTGGATATGTATTCAAATACTGCGGAGGAACCATTGCTTGGGCATGCCGAAAGCAATCCTGCGTTTTACTATCTACAGCAGAGGCGGAATTCGTGGCTCTTTCCGAAGCATCCTAAGAAGCGGTTTGGCTGCAGAGACTATTGAAGTACCTAGGGGAGAAAACAGAAGCAATATTATTCGAAGACAACCAAAGCTGTTTGAAGACGCTGGACTCCGGAAAGTTCAGTAACCGTACCAAACACATTTCAACAAAATTTCACTACTCCAAGGACCTGAAGACGAAAGGTGTTATCAAGTATGAGTACTGCCCTACGGAAAAGATGGCCGCGGATCTTTTAACCAAACCACTACCACGAATACGGTTGGAATTTCTAAGGAAGCAGTGTGGTCTACTGTAGCAGCGTTGAGGAGGAGTGTTGAGTAAATACAACGCAGTATGCCTTGCTTTTAGAGCATAACTTCATTTTCTTCAGTTCAAATTATACTACTGACAAATAAAGACGTTCCTTTCAATTGTAGTTCGAATAGTATGTCGAGTCCAGTCCGATTGTTCCCACTTCTGCCGATACTGCAACGGTACCTTGTGCGAGTACCGAGGACCAGATGGGCCTGACCCGGCTAGGTTGTCCGCCTCGATGTTCGCTGGGATCCCGCAGTGTCCGGGAATCCATGCGTAGGTAGTGTTTGGTGGCGCAACCTTCAGGATGCCCTGGATCCAGGGGTGGACCGGGACCTCCGACGAAAGGGCCTGAATAACACTGTGGGAGTCCAACAGGATCAGGATCAGGAACCGCGATGGCATGAAGAATAGCCGCTGCTTCTGCCGAGAACACCGAGCATTGTTTTGGCAGACTTCTACTCGTTGTGGAAATGTCACCAGCTATTCCCATTCCAACTCCAGCTCTCGATTTTGACTCGTCCGTGTAACGAGGCATGTATTTTGGGTACAATCCGGTCAGCTCTGCTACCGATCTCCTAAAGGGCTTTGGAATTGTCCCCGGCTCTCAACTTCTCCTTTATCGTGAATATTGGCCACTGGGGGGAGCTCTGCGTTGGCGATTGTACGGAGAACTCTGTCCCCCTCGCTGAGGAGGCAGATTCTGTCGTTTCCAACGGTATTTGCTGAAAATGCAGCGGCTTTGTTGGCAATGGCTACGTAGATGCGGTACCGGAAAGGGAGAGTGCCGGCTTCGACACAGTCGGCATCGGCTGGCGTCGAGGGTAGGAGACTGGAGATGCTGCGCGTGTAGCTATTGTACACCGGAGCGAGTATTTGTATTGCTTTGTCGGTGGCGATGCAGGTCAGCTGTCGAGTCGGCTGTCTACGATGGCACAGACAAAACGTTGTTAGACCGGTGGGGACGGGAGATTGTGCGGATTAGGTTGATCCTGCTGCGACAGCTGGCCTTGACCCCTTGAAGGTGCTGATCAAAACTCAGCGACCGGTCAATGACAACCCCCAGCAGTTTCACCGTTTTCTTCGTTTTCTTCAATGGAATAGCTTGATTACCGATCTTTATGGAAGGTCCGCAGACCCGATGTCGGTACTGGCAAACGTGGCAGCTGAAAACCTCTCGAAGCGGCCCATCTGGCTACGGCGGAAACCCCTGCTTGGGCTCTAATCCTCGTCCGTCCCGGAGTTTGACCTGTGGCAACGATTAGCACGTCGTCTGCGTACACAAAAATGTAGATTTTCGCTGGTAACCGCTCGAAGAAACTGTTCATGACTACCAGGAACAAAGTGACAGCGATCACTGAAGCTTGGGGAACGCAAGTTTCCTCGCAGAAAGTGCGGGATTTGGTATTACCTACCGAGACTCGGAAGGATCGGCCAGTCAGGAAATTTTGGACGAAATGGATGATATGGCCGCTAAGGCCCCAGCTGACGAGTTGCTTCAGTACCGCGGGCGTCCATGTACAGTTGAAGGCTTTCGCAATGTCCAGGGAAAACAACTCCGTATGGAGACCATCGCAAAATGCGTGGATGTACCGTGGCCTTGCCGGAATGCGTGTTGGCGATGGTCTAGAAGGCCGCCAGACTCGAGAAACTGCTTCAGGCGTTGGTTAACCATCCGCTCGAACACCTTTGCCATGCAGCAGGTGAGCGCAGTGGGTCGGAACTTCACCACGTCCCGTGTCGGCTCGTTTGCTTTAGGGATGGGGTCTGCCAAAGCTGGTTGAAGAGTTCCAGCATTTTTACTTTACCCGGGGTAGGCAGGTTCTTCAGCAGCGGGTTGCCGATCTCGTCTTTTTTTTTTTTTTTTTTTTTTTTTATACAGGGGGGAATCTGCTCACAGACACCTGAGCAGGAACTCAGGGTGTGGGGATGGGAGAATTTCACTCCCGACCCACTAAACCTTACCCTGTGCGCTTGGCCCTTGGCCTCCCCGGAACCGCCCGAAGGCATTACTTCGTGGGAGGGGCCGCTGTAGCGCTATGGCGCCTCTCTAGCAATACTCTAACGATCTGGTCGGGCAGTAGGTAACTGCTGCTCGGCTCGCCACTGTCGTTGTAATACCGAAACTATGTGGGTGACCGCAGTCACCACCGCGCTCCAGTTCTCGGTGGTACCACACATCCTATGAACGATGTTGTCCGGACTGGTATCCACTCCGCATATCGCTAGCATAGCGCTCGATACTGGCTCGAAACGTGGACAGGCAAACACGACGTGTTCGGCGGTCTCCTCGACGCCAGCACATGTGGGGCAGGTGGGAGTACTTGCATGTCCGAACCTATGCAGGTAGCTCCTAAAGCAGCCATGGCCTGACAGGAACTGTGTCAGGTGGAAGTTTACTTCCCCATGGCGCCTGTTGACCCAGCTTGATACGGAAGGTATCAAGCGGTAAGTCCACCTCCCCTTTGTGGAGTTTTCCCACTCCAATTGCCATCTCGCGGTCGACACAACTCGCGCGTTGTTGCGCACCCCTCGAACGGTCCTCGCGTCATAACACGCCACATCCTCCTTAATGATAAGGCTGATTGGCATCATCCCTGCTATGACACAGACGGCCTCTCTCGAGATAGTGCGGTATGCACTGGCCACCCTTAAGCACATTAGCCTGTGTGTACTCTCTAATTTCTGCCTGTGGCAGTCAATATCCAGTACCGCAGCCCACGCAGGGCCGCCGTATCTGAGGATAGATACTACGACCCCAGCGAGGAGCCTGCGCCGAGCTGTTTGACATCATACGGGATAATGCCCCCACAGCCATAGACGCTCTCTTGCAGGCGTACTCGACGTGGCAGCCGAAGCTGAGCTTATCGTCGAGCATGACCCCCAAGAGTTTTAGAGAGCGCACAGACCTAATTGTGCTTCCGCCGACTGCCAACGTCGCATGCTGTACTGACATGCGATTGTTGACTACGACTACTTCCGTCTTGTGATGGGCGAGCTCCAGTTTCCTGGTTCTCATCCATTCCTCCACAAGCCTGACGCAGTGGGCCGCTGTCAGCTCTACCTCCTCGAGGGATTCCCCGCAGACTACCAGCGTGACATCGTCGGCAAAACCTACAATTTTCACGCCTACCGGGAATTTTATCCTCAACAGTCCATCGTACATGACGTTCCATAACACCGGGCCCAGGATGGAGCCTTGTGGCACACCTGCGGTGACTCTAACGCATTTTTCGCCATCTTCTGTGTCGTACGTCAACACACGATTCTGGAAGTAGCTTTCCAAAATCTTATACAGCCCTCCGGGAATTTGGAGCTGGTGTAGCGAGCGGGCTATCGCCCCCCAGCACGCGCTGTTGAACGCGTTCTTCACGTCTAAGGTTAGCACCGCGCAGTAGCGAATGCCCCTTCGTTTCCGATGGACCACCCGCATAAGCGCGAACCATAAATTGACCTTACCGATAATGGTTATAAATTGTTTATAATCCCTGCTAAACTTCAACTGAAATGGTTATGGAACTTTACATGAACGTTTAATGATAAAGTTTTAACCTTAAGTATTATAGTTTTTTGGAAGTGGACCTTACAAATAATGGGTTGTTAAGAACCATTACCATTCAAAATTCTTGTTTTCTCCATACATTTTCGGAAAGAAAACTATACTAAAACCTTTTAACTTATGGTATGAGAACATTAATGGTAATGGTTATGGTAACCAGTAAGGTCCATGAATGGTTTTGTAACATCGATCAACTTTATGTGGAATATATCGCGAATTGGTTGCCCGTAAATTACTGATTACCAATTCACGATATATTTCACGTAAAGTTGAGCGATAATACAAAACCATTAATGGACCTTACTGACTACCATAACCATAACCATTAATGTTCTCAAACCATAAGTAAAAACGTTCTAATATAGTTCTCTTTCCGAAAATGTATGGAGAAAACAAGAATTTGGAATGGTAATGGTTCTTAACAACCCATTATTTGTAAGGTCCGCTTCCAAAAAACCATAATACATAAGGTTAAAACTTTATCACACAAACGTTCATGTAACGTTCCATAACCATTTCAGTTGAAGTTTAGCAGGGATTATAAACAATTTATAACCATTATCGGTAAGGTTATGTGATGGTTCGCGTTTATGCGGGCACCTCTGCCGTCTGGATGACGTCGCGGATGGCGTCCACCGTGGATCTGCCCTTTCGAAACCCGTACTGGCTGCTTGACAGGCCGTCTACACCTTCGGTGTAGGCCGACAGCCTGTTGAGGATGACCCTCTCAAGCAGTTTCCCAGTGGTGTCCAGCAAACAGATGGGTCTGTATGCTGACGGGTCCCCAGGGGGTTTTCCTGGCTTCGGAAGCAGCACCAGCTTCTGCCGCTTCCACGCGTCTGGGAAGACGCCTACGTCCAGACAAGTCTGAAAAACAGAACGGAACATGTCTGGATTTTCCGCAACGGCCGCCCTCAGAGCCACAACCGGGATCCCATCTGGGCCCGGGGCCTTGCCCACCACCAGCGACCTGGCAATACCGCCAAGTTCACTGTTCGTCACTCTAGACACTTCTCCCTGATCCGCGCCTGGGATCCGCGGCCAGGAGTCTACGTCCCTACGCGGGAACAGGAACCCAACGATCGGAGCCAGTACCGCTGGTGATCTCTCCGGGGGTGCCGTCACGCCGCGGGTCTTTGCCATGACCACTTTGTAAGCATCCCCCCATGGGTTCGTGTTGGCGCTTTGGCATAGGCTGTCAAAGCACGCGCGCTTGCGTCTGGCGATCTCTTTATTGAGGGCTGCCTTAGCCGCTCGGAGAGCGACGCGGCGTTCCTCGCGAGATTCAGTCGTACGAGCTCGTTGCATCCTCCTTCTCGCCTGGAGGCAAGACGCCCTGAGGATAGCAATCGACTCGCTCCACCAGTACACCGGTCTGTGGCCATGCCTGGGATAGGCTCTCCTAGGCATGGTTGTATCGCACGCCCTTGTCAGTGCTGCTACCAGTTCTTCCCCCGTCAGATCCGGGGTTATTCGCTCCCGCCTCAGTGCTTCGCCGAAGACCTCCTCCTCGAAGAACGACGTCCGCCAGCCTCGAGCGCAGGAAGAATTTCCTCCTGCCACTCGCCTCTCACCTGGCCCCACACTGTACCGAATCGCCTGATGGTCACTATGAGTGTAACCCTCATCGACCCTCCAGTGTAGGTTGCCCTCCAAACTCGGGCTGCAGTATGTCACGTCGATGACGGATTCTGCACCATTCCTTCTGTAGGTACTGACCGAGCCGGTGTTGGATAGTACAACGTCCAGCTTGGCCATTGCCTCCAGTAGGATGCATCCTCTCTGGTTGGTGTGGTGGCTACCCCACTCTACCGCCCATGCGTTAAAGTCGCCCGCAATGACCACCGGTCTTAGGCCGACAAGTACCGCAGTCAGTCTGTCCACCATCTGCGAGAATTGCTCGATAGACCACCTGGGCGGAGCATAGCAGCTACTTAAGTATACTCCGTTAACCCTGGCGATCACGAATCCCTCGCTCGAGTTGGACACGACTACCTCCTGAATGGGGAAGCTCCCCATCGTGCATATCGCCGCCATCCCCGACGCGTCCGTGACCCAATTCCCGTTGCCGGTTGGGACGCGGTACGGGTCAGAGATGATTGCGACATCCGCTCCCCATTCCACTGCCGATTGCCACAGCAGTTGCTGGGCAGCCGAACAGTGGTTCAGGTTCAACTGCGCTACCTCGAACATGGCTGAGCATTGCTCTTTGCCTTAGCAGCATTGCTCTTGGACCCCGGACAGCGGGGGCCACCTGCCATGTGGTTGGTAGGGGTATTCCCCTTCTCCGCGCATATAGTGCACCTCGGCGGCTTTTGGCAACCTCGCGCCTTATGGCCCTCCAAGCCGCACCATCTGCAAAGCTTGCTCCTGTCGGTGTTCTTACAGTCACGGGCCACATGGCCCTGACCGAAGCACCTAAAGCAAGCCGTCACCGGTCGGGGAATACTGACGGGGCAGACCGACCAGCCCACTCGCACCCTCCCTGCGGCTACCGCCTTTCTGGCCTCAGCTGCAGAGAGCCTGATGGTAGCCACTTGGGTGGAGAACAGTCCCTTCCTCAAGGTAATCGCTGATTGCGGTACCTCGACTTGGCACTGTTCCCGGAGCGCCGTGACTATCTCGGTCGCCTCCGTCACTTCGTCCAGGTCCTTGACCTGGATGGTGATAGTCGAGCCTAGCGACTTCACCTGCACCCCAGAACCAACAACCTCCTTTGCCAGTTTCTGGTAGGTTGGTCCCTGGTCCTTAGCACCACGTTTGAGCACCAGGAGCATCTCGCCTGTACGAGTGCGCCTGATGCTCCTCACGTTACTGCCCATCTCCACAAGGCGCTCGTCCGTTCTCATTTTCTTCAAGACTTCCGCGTATTTCGACGCGTCCGTCTTGAGGATGAGAGCTTCGCCCTTGTTCCTGGTCCGGGCAGCACTGCTCTTGGGGGCAGTTTTGTCCGGGGGTTTCGGGGGGGTACCCTTCTTACCGCCCTGCTTCCCGCCCTTGGAGCCGCTAGGTTTCTCAGTATTTCTATTGGCTATTCCAGCCCTCTTCTTCGGTACGTCCACTGAAGCATTGGACTGATGGGCAACCGCCGCACTCTCCACCTGCACAGAGACTTTCCGTCTCTTAGGGCGTGCTGCGCCCTTTACTGGCGAAGGTGAGGGTCGATTACGCTTCTGTCCCTGCGTAACGGCAAAGTGGAGGGCCTCGCTGGACATCGTATTGTTGCCCGCGAAGTTGAAGGCGTCCGTCTGGGTAGACTTCGGTTCCTTCTGTTCCACCCTCTCTGCGACCTCTAGTCGCTTCCTGAGCCGCTCGTGGTCGTCCTGGGCCTCGTTCACGGTTGCACGGAGCTGTCGCAAGGCCTGCTTTAGGTCCTTCGCGATGTTGCTCTTCGTGCTCGTGAACTCTATTATGGCGTCGAGTTGTCCCGCGATTGCCAGCAGCCTAGGGAGGGGCCCAAAGCTATTCATAGTTCTGATTAGCCCGGGCCAGTCCTTCGGCTGCTCTTCCGGCTGTCCACCGATCCCGGCCGTTGTCTCTGCATCGCGCGGAGATTTCGACCGTTTGTTCGGCTCTCTGTGTTCGGGAGATCTGGGTAGACCTCCCTTCGCGAACGGGTTCGCGGTCGCCTCCTCGGCGACTTGTTCAACTGGGGTTTGGGGTTTTTGGTTTTGTTGATGATTGTTTGAAATCATCCCGACTGTTGGGTCCCCCTTAGACCGCTATCCTACCGTGCAAATGGAATAGTCGCTGATTGATCCCCATGGGTGCCTATGCGAGCAGTGAGGTCCATGACGAGGGTTGACATAGGCCTTCATGGGGCGTTATGTTCAGAGCCGGATCGCGTAAGACGGGAATAACTCAACCGAACCTATTCCCACCGCAGCCCCAACTGGGTGGCACGGGAGGAACGTATTCTAAGGCCTGCCAGGGTTTTATGGGACGGAGACAAACAAGGCATTAGCTCAAACGTCGTTTCGGCCGGTTCCACCCGACTCTACTAAGAGAATGAAATACCTTGAGTGCCAGCCCGTAGCGTGGTTTATGGTAAGTTTCCACTCAGTGTCCTACATAATGCCAGTGTGTCAGTATACATACTTGCGATCTTACTGACATCGATCGCAAGGCACCTTCCGGCGCTTCCCCTCGTTTGTTGTTCGATTAGCCGACTGGATCAACTTCACACCCCGCCGATCTCGTCTGGGTCGGCTGATTTCCCGTTGCTTCTACTAAGCGCGAACTGAAGCTCCTGCCAGGTGAAATCGTGGCTGATCCTCAGCTTGTTCGTGTTCGGAGAAACTAGAAAACTGCTTACGGACGAAGTCGATGGGTTTGCTAGCCGTTGAAAGGTCGCCTCGTACTTGGAAATCGCAGAGAGGTCAGCGAAATAGTCACCGAGCTTATCTGCAACGATTGCGGGATCGGAGACTGCAGCACCGAAGAAGAGTTTGAAAGGCAAGTCTAGAAAATTCATAGGACAAGTTTTATACTGCCGCTATTGGCATAACAGTCCCATGTCTTGTGAATTTCCTATCTACATGGGAATGTTATGCGAATAGCGGCAGTATAGAGAAGCATTGGTGTTCGGAAAACATGCAGAGCTAGTTAGATAGGCCTATTCTGCGCGGCGTGTGGGGTGAGGTGACAGTGAAGTGACAATTGTCACCTCGGGTGAGGTGAGTCTCCATGCAAATCAAATGGAGAGTCACCTCACCCGAGGTGCCAATTCTCGCGTCACTTTTCAAATAGACCATTCTACAGCCGGCCCATCTTGATTCTCTTCATCGGCTCTCTCTTTCGTTTATAACTTTGCTGCATTCATATTGTTAAAAGAATCAACAATCAATACGAAACTATCGATTTGAAATTGGCTCACTACTTGACTAGTCTATTGGTCCCAAGCAAACGATTAACGTATCCCATTCTAGTCGAAGTTCTAGTACTTCACAATATTTGTTTTGGTTTGCTGTGAAAGTTTGACAGATAAAATGAGGGTTTAGTGGATTATCTTATGTTATGATAGTACCAGAGCTGATCCAAAAAGTTGAGCACGTTTCTTCGGGACCTACTAGTCTTAGAGTTACCTATTATTACCTGGTATTACTAAGCGTATTGGGCAATAAGAACAGCTGACCATGCTATTGGAGCCGAGTTATTAACTAAAGAGACAGTCGATGAAGAGAATCGATTACTGTAGATTGGTCTATTTGAAAGGTGACGCGAGAATTGCCACTTTACTAGTGACTGCGAGTCATCTCACCTCACACGTCGCGCAGAATAGGCCTAACACTCAAGCCACAACTAATCTAATTCGGATGAACAAAGTTAACATGACAACAGATAATTATAAACATGCTTTCTCGTTTTATTGGGATGCTTTTGTTTGTTTTTGTAATCGAGATTATGATGTGCTCGTCAATTTAAGTAAAAATTAAAATACATTCAATAAATCCTAGCTCACAATCGATTTCTTTAAAGGTAAAGTAATATGTACGACAGTTTATAGCACTTAAGAATAAACAAAAGGACACATGGTTAAGTATTTCCATTACATAAAGTTTTAAAATCTGTGCAAATCAATCTTTGTATTACACTGCACATTTGTATTGGGTATTTCCTGAAAATCATAAATATTTCTATAATTTCATTTTGTTTAAAATTAGGCAGCTGTTAATTCCTTGCATGATATATATTTTTTTAATAAAAAATAGTGATTACTTTAGGAATAATTTAATCTATTTTATTACTATTGTGAAACAATCACGATGATCATCTGCTGATATACCTTTTTTCAGCTGCTACAGCATTTTGTTCTTGCAACTGATTGCAACTTACACCTAAACACGCAAAATAGTTAATGACGGTCTTGGGGGCAGGGTTAAGCTCGTTTCGGAAAATAAAGTCGCCAAATCGCCACACGATCTAGTTATATGCAACGTAGTCCGAATTCTATTCCCATCTTCATTCCGTCCACTTTGTACATCAAGCTTAACCCTTCCCCCAAAAGCAACATTCCCTTCCCACCTAATCTTAACATGTAATCCGCACTGCGGTTCCACCGCGTCGTCGTCGTGCTCGTCGTCCTGGTTCCGGTCTCAATTTTTGACAAACGCCTCCGGTGGTATCCTGTTCTGTTTATGCAGCTCGGCGAATGCGAACCCAGCTCGCTCAAAGTCCCAGTTCGTTTCCTCCAGACACTTTCGGCTCCACTCCAGGTTCATGTTGCTGTGGGCTGCCATCGTTTGGACCATCTGGAGTTTGGTGTTATCGTCCGGGCCACCAAGTGGGACGCTTGGTGCTGCTACTGCTGCTGGTACTGGTACTGCCGTCGAAGTCGAGGCTTGGAATCCATTCGAGGCCGGATCTTTGAAAGCCTTTTCGTCCTGTATCCGGGTGGTGTTGTTGATGTGGATCATTTCGTTGCGAATGCAGAAACCACTGCCGGAGGGGACGATCACTAGCGAACGTTGGAAGGACCGGTACGGTTCGTTGATGACGGCCACTTTGCGTTCTTTGAAGACGCCCGTCACTGTCAGCAGGATGAGCTGGGGCTGGGGATAAAACAAAAATTAGCTTTGAACAGGATTGACAATCGAAAACCACTCACCGTGAACAACGTCAAATCGACGACGAAAGTCTGCGGGTCGTGCTTGGTGTTGGGTAGCTCCGACAGGAACGAAACCACGGGTAGCCGACCCATCTTCAGATATCGACACCTCGTGTCCAGATCCCGTTTGGAGTTCAGATTGCGGTTGTACGTCAGGTAGTTTTGCAACCGCTGTTGACTTCCCTGGCTGGGGCTGTTGAAGACGGTCATTGAGATCATGGCATGCTCGTGGTACGCCTCCAGCAACGGTTGCCGGTTGTCCGAGTCGTAGATGATAAAGTACTGTTCCAGGAATTGACGGACAATGCCGGCGCCGGCGGTGTCGCACAGGAAGGAAGCCTTGGCCGAGGGCAGTTTGTGGTCGTCTTCCGGCAGGTCGAAACCGATCGGCGGCGGGAGGTCGATGTTGTCCTGTTGATCAATTTTAGAAGAAGTTTAGCAATCGTCGGAGAAGTTATGCAAACGGATTGATGAGGTACATTTTTCAGAGATCATGAGAGAAAGGTTTAAATTTTTCGTTGATGAGATTTTTTTTTCGATGTGACGCACATATTCGTGAAGGCTTATTCCGAGTTCGGTAATGTTTGTTAAATCTTATATTATTTTAGAGATTGAAAGAGAAACAAAAATGAGATTGTGTTAATAGGTAATAGCCCCATCGAACGGTGGCCCATCTCACCCCGTATGATCTTCTTGCCCTCATCCTCCTACACGGAGAAACGAAAAAACTCAAAATTGACATAGGAAGTACTTAAAAATAGCTTTGATTTGGAGTTTTTGATTTTGGATTTTGCGAGACAGAAGGGAGTCTTATGAAGGCCACATCTCAAGTCTCAAGGCTACATTCCAGAACGTGAGTGGATCATGGTGATCACGTCAAACCCCTAGAATGGCTTCAATACACTCTCCATGCTAAATCGTGAGTCCCATATCATTGCATGCAAAATAATAACCCAATGCAGGTCAATTGAATATGCCTAAATGAATTAGTTGCAATGATAGTATGAACATTAATGACAGTATAATATACTAATTGAATAAAATTAATATTTGCCTGTTAATAATGATCGAGATTGGTGAAAAGTAAGAGAAGTTGATAATTTATTTGTTTATTTGGTTCTACATCAACGGACTGCGTTTAGTCCTAATGATGGATTAAGCAATACTAGGAAATACAATATAGTCAAGAAGTAACAAGCTGCATAGGCCGTGAAGTCCAACTTAATTCCTAATTATTAAAAAAAATATCTATCACGGAATCTCCGACGCAGCGTCTCGCGTGCCAAGTGAAAATCAAATAAGGAAGCAACACGATTGAAAACCCTTTGTAGCCCATTGATAGCACCATATGAACTATAGTTTGTACGACGAAACGGTATCCTCAGCATTGCGTTGTTACGGAGTGCTCGTGGTTGAACGTTAGCGTCGATTTGTTGTAGAATAGAAGGACAATCGATTCTGCCCTGTCAATCGATGTCTGCCACAAACAGGGCCCTTGTCGTATCTCTTCGACTCCACAATGGATCCAGGTGAATTAACTGGAAGCGTATTTCGTAGCTTGGAAGGCGATGAGGATCCCTCCAGGCCAATCGTCGAAGGGCAAACCAGATGAATCGTCGTTGAATAGACTCTACTCTTTGTACACTGTTTTGGTAATTGGGATTCCATATAGAGCAGCAGTAGTATCGCATCTAAATTCACTCGTTTTAGTACAACTACTTTAAAGTACAAATAATAAATAAATTTAGAATTACTGTTGTTCACGTTGTAAATCGTTCTCTCTACCGATTGTTTTTTCCCATACACGGCGAATGAGAACGACTCAAATTTGAGTTTAGTTCACTCATAATCGCCAAAAGTGCAGGAACGCAGCGATGAGTAAAATTTGTCCCATGGTTTCCTGTGGAAAACCTAAAAAATCTGCCGGAAAATGAGGAAATTGACGAAAATTTGATTCAGTCTCGGAATAGTACCAATAGACTGAGTGAATCCAATCTTTACTTTTCTCAAATTCGGGAATTTTCCCCTGGAAAATCCTGGAAAAACCTGGGAAAACATGAGGCAAATTAACTCATCGCTGAGTTCCTGCACTTTTGGCGATTATGAGTGAACTAAACTCAAATTTGAGTCGTTCTCATTCGCCGTGTACTCTACAGCGATGACAATCGTGGACGTGCGCTGTCATCGAGATATGTGAAGTGAAGTGCGATGGTTCATTCAGCGTTCTGCGATATTGCTCTTGGTCCGTTTTGCTGAACGTTCTAGTTACAAACATTCAACTACTTGCGCAACTCGCTACCCAATCAGAATGTTGTGTATGCGTAAATAAACCGTTTACCTCTATCGCATTTCTCATGTCCTTACCCTTCTCTTACCCACAGTTTACCACTTACTGGTTTTTCCCAAAAAGTCAGCAAGTGAGAACACATCTATTCATTTTTTGTGAATGCAAACCATTCAACGAGCCGAGTCGGTTGTGCGAGCAGGAAGGCTAACAGATTGTTTGGATGCGGTTTTTGATAAATTTTCGACCTTTTTGGTTTTCGGCCTTTTGTGGTACCTTAGAATAATTTCGGCCTTCCGTACGGGTCCCGTATTGACCGGGCACAGGTCATCACAATCGGCAAGAACCATCCACGAAGAGCGCGAGAAGGAGGCGTAGCCACTCGCGAGTCTCCTCAAGTTGAGAGGTCATCGGCGCGGTCGATTTTCGATCGTGTCTAGCCCCGGCGGATGCGAAGCGGCGTGGATCCCAAGCGACGAAGTGAAAGGGAGCATTGATGTGCCGTGTGTGTCGTGTCCATCCAATTCGAGCGGCGGTAAAGGGTGCACCCAGCCGGTATTTCGTGAGTACTCATATGAAGAAAAGTATGTAATAGTTAGAAAGAACAGTAGGTCCAGAGCGGAGGCGCAAAGCGCGATGAACGGAGGCAAGGACAGGGATAAGGAGGCAGGTAGGAGATTGATTGTGTAATTTGTTGGGGTGTTTATGTTGCTAGCCGATCCGACCTAAGCTTTCTCATACAAGAAAAGGTCGTACGCAACAACATGCCTAGTCCATTCGATACTGCAGTTGCGGTAAATGCAACCAACCTCCATCGAATTCTCAACAACTTTCCTGTAGAATTCAAAGTTACGGCTGACGAACTGTTGGCCTATACTAAATCATCTAAAAATATGAAGGCCCCAGGTTTCGACCAAATTCTGAATCTGGAACTCAAACACCTGAGTTCCAGGTTCTTCAACGATCTGGCACTGATTTTTAATCAATGCCTCGGACTTGGCTGGAAGTCAGCTAAAGTCATCCCCATCGGAAATCTGGGAAAGATCCATCCTCTCCTTCAAGCTACCGACCCATCAGCCTTCTCTCGGGGTTATCCAAGCTGTTCGAAAGAGCAGTCTACCATCCACTCCTGGCATCTGCTGTGGAAAACAACTTGTTGCTCGAGGAGCAGGTTGGCTTCCGTAAAGGTCGCTCGCCGGTTCACCAGCTGACTCGAGTAACAAACATTCGCAGACGGAACAAGTCTGTATCTAAAACATCTGCCATGGCATTGTTGGACGTTGAAAAAGCGTTTGACAATGTTTGGTCAAACTTGGTCTACAAATTGCAGCGATACAGTCTTCCAATCTTCATAGTGAAGATATTTAAATATAACTTCTAGGACAGGTCATTCAGAGTCTCTCTCAATGGCATCAATCAGCATCCTTGGCCCCATCTTGTTCAACCTGTTCACCTCCGATATGCCGGATCTCTCTGATGGTGGATCGCTGTCTCTGTTCGCAGATGACACATCCATCATCTTTAAGGGTAGGGTCATCGGAGATATTTCAACAGCTGGAAGATCCGTATCAACGCAGCAAATACCCAGGTTATCATCTTTCCTCATTAAAATCACTCAGACTTGTTCCGTCTAAGAATAAAAAAATATCAACGTGATGGAACGATCATCAAAAGAGGTAGTGTATCTCGGCATTACACTCGACAGCAAGCTGCTTTTCAGGGAACACATTGACAAAAGAAAAACCATATGTAACATCCTGATGACATCCTTATATCCACCATTATCAGCTGGAAAGATACTCTTCGTTTGCAATTCCTGTCGTGGGGTTCTACAGGGCCGCTCTATCCGCTGTTTCATCGACGATCAGCAGCAACAACAAATGCAACCCCCCTCGCTTGCTTCGTTGCCAGATCAGGTTCGGCAACTGCATGATGCCGTGGCTGAGCTAAGTAAAAAAGTCAACAATTTCTCTGCTAAGCCACAACGCAACCCGTCACTGAGTGCTACACCAGTTTGGCCCTAACCGGGTGCAAAACGCCGTCGTGAAGACCGGCCTGATATTGACGTGCCAACCGTAAATGGAACGAAAACTTGAGTGGTCTTTCCGTTCCCTCTATTGCTCCTAGTGCACCTCCGGATAAATTCTGGCTATATCTTTCTCGCCTGAACCCGCTCATCACCGATAACGACGTGCAGAGTATTGTGTCACGCTGCTTGAGCTTAACTGAACCTGTCGATGTGGTGCGTTTGGTTCCCAGAGGAAAAGTCGTATCCAGTATGACATTTGTGTCATTCAAGATCGGTTTGGATCCTTGTTTGAAAGATGCTGCACTCGATCCGGATTCCTGGCCTGCCGGATTACAGTTTCGCGAGTTTATTGATTCGGCAAAAAACTAGCGTGCTATGTTTCTCCAGCTGTTGACACCATTGCCACAACTTCATCGGATCCGGGACACCACGAACTGTGGCTCTCGCTCACCGTTCTACAAGCAACAGTTTAATTTCGCAAGTCGTCGCTATCGAAACTACAACCACTTCCTCTATAATCGGCACGTGAGACGCACGGAAGCGAACCTTCGGTCGAACCCGAAAGGTTTTTGGTCGTTTGTAAATTCAAAACGGAAAGAATCCGGGCTGCCTTGTTCCATGTTCCTCGGAGATGATACGGCCTGCAGCGAAAGTGAAAAATGCAGCTTGTTTGCTCGTCAATTCAAACAACTCTTCCACGATTTTTCCGCTTCACCGACACAGGTGTTGGTCGTAACCTCCGGGATGCCACGTGATGTTTTTAGTTTTGACATACCTCACATCACTGAAGACATGGTGATAGCCACAACATGCAAAATGAAGAACTCATTCGCCGCTGGTCCTGACGGAATTCCCTCGTCAGTTTTAAAACGATGTGCAGTCATCCTCTGCCTTCCACTTGCGCGACTTTTTAATTTCTCGGCACAGCAAAGTGAATTCCCCTTTTCTATCTGTTTCCAATTCACAAACAAAGAGACAAACGGAATGTCGCTAATTACCATGTGCGTCTGCTCTAAACTTTTCGAGATTATTGTAAATGATGCTCTGTTTATGTGCTGTAAAAATTATATCGATACGGACCAACATGGTTTTTACCCC